CACCTCCAAGGTCATGTGGCCGGCATGACTGCATGGAGCGCCGTTACCTTCCCGCCGGAGCGGTACCTATTGATCTACTCACATTTGCATGTTTTCGAACTGCTAGGCTGGCAGAAGCTAGGACTGACAGCAGAAGCTCACGCCGCTCCCCGGAATCGAACCTGCGACCTTTCGATCAACAAGCTCAGCAGCAGGGTATAAATAAAGTCTTATTATTATATTTATTATTATATAATTTTAAAAAATTAAATTAGATTGAATTAAAATTAAAAGCATATTCTGCATCGGACTTATTTTTCAAAGCCCCAAACTTCATATTTCTAGACCAGGACCTTTTTTTTCTCCATAGAGGAAAAGGTGTCCCTCCCTTTCCCCCCAAAGTGGGGAGACCCTTGCAGCTGCTCCTTTTCTCCCTTGGGAGACCCCCCCCCCTTTTCCTTTTTCATTTCTGGTGTTGTTATTGGCAACTTGAAGGTCCGGTGTGTGTGTGTGTGGGAGTGTCCCTTTGCCTATGTTGCAGCTGAGCTGTATTCCCTTGGGAGGGGGGGGTCCTATGGTTTCCTGCCTGGGCCCCCCAAGAGAGAGCCACTCCCACATTCCTGCCTGTCTGAGCCATTCCTGGATGGCCCCCTGCCAGGCCCAGCCCAAGCAGGAAGGCTAGAAAGGCAAGGCGGAGAGTGGGCTGGAGGGCCGGCTTCCTCCTCCTTTTCCTCCATTCAGTGCCAGGAGCCACAGGGTTGGGCTGTGGCCGCAGACAGGAGGGGAGGAAGGCCCACTCTTTCCTTCCTGCAGGAAACACAGAAAGGTCCCTTGCAGGGGAATCTCTCCTGGATCCAAGCCTGGGATCTCAAGAACGGACATTTCTAAAGAGTTATGCAGCTGAAAGACACTCCCCTGTCCCCCCACCATCCTCAGGATCATCCAGTCCAGCCCCTTATTGTCAGGCAGGAAGGCACAGCCAACACCCTTCCAACAGCTATGCAGACCCTGCTTAATAATAATAATCATCATCATCATCATCATCATCAACAACAACATCATCTATATAAATAAAAATGTAATGTTCATTTGTGGTATTCACAGAACTCAAAAACCACTGGGGGAATTGACACCAAATTTGGACACGATACACCTAACAACCCAATGTATGTCCTTCACTCAAAAAAAATTGATTTCATAATTTGAGAGTTGTAGTTGCTGGAATTTATAGTTCACCTACCATCAAAGAGCATTCTGAACCCCACCAACGATGGAATTGAGCCAAACTTGGCACACAGTTCTCCTATGACCAACAGAAAATACTGGAAGGATTTGGTGGGCAGTGTCCTTTGGTTTTGGAGTTGTAGTTCACCTACATCCAGAGATCACTGTGGACTCAAACAATGATGGATCTGGACCAAACTTGGCACGAATACTCAATATGCCCAAATGTGAACACTGGTGGAGTTTGGGGAAAATAGAATCTTGACATTTGGGAGTTGTGGTTGCTGGGATTTATAGTTCACCTACAATCACAGAGCATTCTGAACCCCACCAACGATAGAATTGGGGCAAACCTCCCACACAGAATCCCCATGTGGGCCACAGCAATGCGTGGCAGGGGATGGCTACTCTATATAAATAAAAATATAATGTTTGTTTGTGGGATTAACATAACTCTAAAACCACTGGACAAATTGACACCAAATTTGGACACAATACACCTATCAGGCTAACGAGTGACCATCACTCATAAAAATACTGAAAACACAGAAGAGACTTTAAAACCCAAAAAACAAAAAAAAATACAACTCATGCACAAAACCACACACACATATACACAAATATACACACACACAAAACACAGTGAATATACTGGGCCACAGCAATGTGTGGCAGGAGACAGCTAGTCTATATAAATAAAAATGTAATGTTTGTTTGTGGGATTAACATAACTCAAAAACCACGGGACGAATTGACACCAAATTTGGACACAAGACACCTATCAGGCCAACAAGTGACCATCACTCATAAAAATACTGAAAAACACAACAGAATATATTTAAAAAGCCAAAAAACACATTGCAACACACATACAAAACCACACACACACACACATATATATATACACACACAAAGCACATATACACAGATTGGGCCACAGCAAAGCGTGGCGGGGACAGCTAATAATAATAATAATAATAATTATTATTATTATTATTATTATTATTATTTCCATGTCAGGAGTGACTTGAGAAACTCCAAGTAGCTTTGGGTGTGAGAGAATTGGCTTTCTATTATTATTATTATTATTATTATTATTATTATTATTATTATTATTATTATCTTCATTTGTATACCGCTTTTCTCACCCTGGGGGGACTCAAAGCGGTTTACAACATAATAAATGGCAAATTCAATGCCTCACATATATGTAAAAATATCACATATCTAAATAATTAACATATAACTGTAGATAAGAACCATTAAAACTATAAAAACATCAAATATAGGCATAATATGTTTCATGCTTATATAGGCATAAGCATGAAACATATTATTGACTCATAACTTTGAGTCTGTTGGGATGTGGGGGGAGCAGGGAGGGTATAAAAAGAAGAGCTGAAACACTATGAAGAGAGAATTGGGGAGGGGGGGGGGAGAGAAGATAAGGTGTCTACATTGTTAATTGCAGCAATAATAACTCCCGACCTCACAATCGTGTTAAAAAGCAAAGTATGGATTGTCGCCAGTGTTCATATTACAGCATTGCTTAAGAGGGCCCAGCAGAGATTGTATTATCTGAGACTTTTAAGAAACCAACAATTGAATGAAAAACTGCTGGTGACTTTCTACTGCTGTGCGATTGAGTGTTCTAACCTATTGCATCTGCATATGGTTTGCTAATTGCACAGTGGCAGAAAAGGAAGGCACTCCAGAGGACTACTTACCACTATGACCGAGAATTATTGCCTGCCTTCTTCCCTCTTTGCAAGAACTTTATAATTCCTGCTGCCTTAAGGAAGCTCAGAGTATTTTTAATGATCCAGCTCACCCTAGATATTCATTCATTATTTTCGTTGCTACTTCATAGCTGTCATTTTGCTACTGTTATGAATCGTAATGTAAATATCTGATATGCAGGATGTTTCATTCACTGGACCAAATTTGGCACAAATACCCTATGCCCAAATGTGAATACTAGTGGGGTTGGAGGGATTGATTTTGTCATTTGGGAGTTGTAGTTGCTGGGATTTATAGTTCACCTACAATCAAAGAGCATTCTGAACTCCACCAACGATGGAATTGAACTAAACTTGGCACACAGAACTCCCATGACCAACAGAAAATACTGGAAGGGTTTGGTGGGCATTGACCTTGTTTTGGAGTTGTAGTTCACCTACATTCAGAGAGCACTGTGGACTCAAACAATGATAGGTTTGGACCAAACATTGCACAAATACTCAGTATGCCCAAATATGAAAACTGATAGAGTTTGGGGAAAACAGACCGTGACATTTGGGAGTTGTAGTTGCTGGGATTTATAGTTCACATACAATTAAAGAGCATTCTGAACCCCACCAATGATAGAATTAGGCCAAACTTTCTACACATAACCCCCATGATGAACAGAAAATACTGTGTTTTCTGGTGGTCTTTGGTGACCCCTCTGACACCCCCCTCGTGACCCACCCTTGGGTCCTGACTTCCAGAATGAGAAACACTGCATTAGGCGTTGTGCAATAGTGATTATGAGGATTATCCAGAAAGTAAGGTTACAAGAATTATTTAAATATAAAGAATGAATATATTTTAATAAAACTTATATGGACTGTAGCATAGGTATTACATTATTTTTACACATAAAATTATTTTTCCCTCCACCTTTTTCAGCCAGTTTGTCACTTCTATTATCACCTCCTCGTTGTCAGAAGAGTGTTTTCCACCCAGGAGTCCCTTCAATTTGGTGAACAGATAATAAGTCACTGAGTGTGAGATGGAGGCTGTGAGAGGGGTGGCTTAAAACATCCCAACCCAATCAAGTTAACAACTCTTGTGTAGCATGAGCAGTGTCCAGACGCGCATTGTCATGAAGGAGGCAGACTCCCGCTGTCAGCATCCCACAAAGTTTGTTTTGGGTGGCTCTGCCAAGTTCTTTGTGGTCTCACAATATATTCCATACCCATTTTGTCACATGCTGTCTTGACATTACATCCTCTCCATAAACTGAAATGATTTCGCAATGAATCGGAGTGGTGTGTATGCCCTTAGCATTTCGGTAGCGTATTACAGCGTGAACTTCGTACTTGGAGGGAAACGGAATGAGGATGCTCATTTCTGACCTTCACCACCACACCAGTGGATGACCTACTGATGACTGGCAGTGGTCGTTCACTTCCACTGGTTTCCTGCTCCATGGCAGTGATACCAACTTCCTCTGAGAAAATTTGCCGTTGCATGAGCGGTGTGCGGATGTGCATTGTCATGAAGGAGACAGACAGAAGGGAAACGAAATGAGGATGCTCATCTCTGACCTTCACTGCAACACCAGTTGATGAGCTACTGACGACCGGCACTGCTCATTCTCTTTGGCTGGTTTCTCGCTACATGGCAGTGATACCAACTTCCACTGAGAAAATCTGCCGTTGCATGAGTGGTGTGCGGATGTGCATTGTCATGAAGGAGATAGACAGAAGGGAAACGGAATGAGCATGCTCATCTCTGACCTTCACTGCAACACCAGTTGATGAGCTACTGATGACCGGCACTGCTCATTCTCTTTGGCTGGCTTCTCGCTACACGACAATGATACCAACTTTTCCCACGAAAATTCCCCATGAGATCTACATGCCTTGTAACCTTACTTTCCAGATAACCGTTATAGAATGTATTGTAGAAGGATGGATGTTTTGTTTTGTAATTCTGCATATATAATGTAATTGAGAATGTCATTTAATTTCGTTGTACCACGTACAATGACAATAAAGTTATTCTATTTTATTCTATTCTCTTTCCTGCAGGTTGAATCTCTGCCTCCCTGACAAGAAGGGTTTGACCCCTCGCCATGCATTCCCTGGACGAACCCCTGGACCTCAAGCTGAGCATCTCCAGGCTCCGGGAGAAGGGCGGCTGGGCCCCCGTTGGCCCCAAGCGCCTGGACCCCCGGGCCTCAGAGGAGGAGGAAGAAGAAGAAGAAGAGGAGGAAGGGACCCCCATCGCCAGCCCCCCCTCCCCCTGCTCCCCCAATGGTGGTGAGTCAGTGGGATCTGTGCAAGCCCACACTTTTCAGTGCAATGCTTTTGCCTTAAAAGTCATCAAACTCATTCTGAGGATTGGAGAAAAAGGTTTAGCCCTTACAATTTTGAGCTTTGTCTTTAACTGCCATGGCTCAATGCTATGGAATCTTGGGAATTGTAGTTTTACAAGGTCAGCGAAAGAGTGCTTTTTTTTTGTCGTGTCAGGAGTGACTTGAGAAACTGCAAGTCGCTTCTGGTGTGAGAGAATTGGCCGTCTGCAAGGACGTTGCCCAGGGGATGCCCAGATGATTTGATGTTTTTATCATCCTTGTGGGAGGCTTCTCTCATGTCCCCGCATGAGGAGCTGGAGCTGTTAGAGGGAGCTCATCCACCTCTCCCTCAGATTTGAACCTGTGACCTGTCGGTCTTCAGTCCTGCCAGCACAGGGGTTTAACCTACTGCTCACAGGGGTTTAACGGGGGCTCATGAAAGAGTGCTGATGCCTCACCAACTCCCAAACATCCATAACATTGAATCATGGCAGTTCTACAGTATAGATTGGGCATGGGCAAACTTAGGCCCTGCTTCTGGGTGTTTTGGACTTCAACTCCCACCATTTCTAACAGCCTTGGGCCCTTTCCTGTTCCCCCTCAGCCGTTTTCAATCTGAGGCTGGATGGTCCTCTGTTGGGAGGATTTTAATGGTGCCTTGCTGCCTAACGGCAGAAGAGGGTTGGAATGGATGATCTTTGGGGGTCCCTTCTAATTCTGGGATTTGGAGCCCAGTGGAGTCTCCTTCTAAGGAGGTTTTTAAAGCAGAAAACGGATGGCCATCTGTTGGGAGGGATTTGGAGGTGCCTTTCTGCCTGGCAGAAGGCAGGTTGACCTCTAAGCTGTATGTCTTCCAGCTCTAGGATCCTTGGTTCACAGACCCTTGCCCCTTTCTGCCCTACAGGCCTTCCGCCGCGGCCCCGGTGCCCCCAGGACAAGAGGGAAGCCCCCTGCCCCTCGCAGCCGCCGACCATTGACCTCCGCCTCTCGCCGCCCCCAGAGACCCCCGCAGGATCCTCCTCCTTCTCTTCTTTGCGAGTGAGTCCACTAGCCCAGGCATGGGCCAACTTGGGCCCTCTTTCCAGATGTTTTGGACTTCAACTCCCCCATTCCTAACAGCCACAGCCTCAGGCTCTTTCCGCTTAAGCGGCTGAGGGGGAAAAGGAAAGGGCCTGAGGCTGTTAGGAATGATGGGAGTTGAAGTCCAAAACATCTGGAGGGAGGGCCCATGCCTGATATAGAGGAAATACATCATCTGGGTGATGGGTTGTGTGGTTGAGAGGAGTTTAACAATCATAAATAAATAAATAATATTATTAGGGGGGAAACATAAGACCCCGTTATATGATTTTGCGGTGCTGCCCTGCCCCCCCCCCCCAATCCAGGACCTGCCTTCACTGCGCTACATTGAGGCCCTGCAGAGCTCCTTCCAGTTCTTCCTGCCCCTGAATGCAGGGGGGCTGCCTTTGCCCGCCTCGGCCTTCCTGGGGGCCCCCAAAGAGAAGCGTCTCTCTCCGGAACTCCCTCTGCAGAAGCAGCAGCTGGTCTGTCAGTGGTCCAAGGTGAGTGGGGCCCCAGAGGTGTGCAGGGGGTCCTATTGGGGGGATGGGGAGATGCGCCCCTCTGCTGACCCTCCTCTCGTCCCTGCAGTGCCACCGGCCCTTTGACCTCCTGCAAGACCTGGTGGACCATGTCAACGATTTCCATGTCAAGCCCGAGAAGGACACCGGGTACTGCTGCCACTGGGAGGGATGCGCCCGCCACGGAAGGGGCTTCAACGCCAGGTATGGGGCCAGCAGGTGGGGATGGCAGAACTTTCGGCCCCAGGACCACCTGTGATCCACTTCCTTATCCTCCCCCATGAACTTCCTTCCTGTAGGTACAAGATGCTGATCCACATCCGGACCCACACCAACGAGAAGCCTCACCGCTGCCCCACCTGCAACAAGAGCTTCTCCCGGCTTGAGAACTTGAAGATCCATAACCGTTCACACACAGGTGAGTCTCAGCGGCAGGGCAGTGGGGTGGGGGGAAATGGATGATACTGCCAGCACTCCACCCTTTTTGGTAGGGGGCATTTGGTGCCCATGTTGTCATCCTGGTAGAGAAGGGACTGGCATCAATAAGGGGCAACAAATTGGCTGTGAAGGAGCACAGCGTCCTTTCAGATGGAGAGATAGGATGGAGGGGGAAAGAATAGGGAAACTAGACATTTGCTGGCAATGCAGAGAGGAATGTTATCCTGACTAGGATTGGAAGAGTTAAAAGGCTAAAACCTTTCTTTTCAAGCAGGCTGTTCAAGATGGCAGGCTGTAAGACCGAGCCAGGAGGAGGCTGTGTTTGGTGCAATTCAATATATGTGTTTAATGGTTTTATTATTTTTATTTATATAATAATAATATATAAATAATAATAATAATAATAATATACACGCACATGCGCACACACATATATGTTGTTTTGTTATTGTTGTTGTTATTATTATTATTATTATTATTATTATTATTATTATTATTATTAATATTATTATTATTATTATGGGTTCCAAAGGCGTCCCATATGCATGGAATGGCTCCATAAAGCAGTGGTTTTTGGCCTTCAACCCCTAGAAATCCTAACAGCTGCTAAACTGGCTGGGATTTCTGGGAGTTGTAGGCCAAAAACATCTGGGGACCCCAGGTTGAGAACCACTGATAAAGCATTAATAGATGTGTTTAATGATTTTATTATTTATACACACACACACACACATATATATATATAAATATACACACAAATGTATATATAAATATACACACAAATGTGTGTGTGTGTGTGTGTGTATATATATATATATATATACACACACATACACACATGTATATATATGTGTGTGTGTGTATATATATGTGTGTGTGTGTGTGTGTGTGTGTTTTATTTATATATATGTTTTATTATTATTATGGGTGCCAAAGGCAAAAGATTAGTATCCCATCAGCATAGAATGGCTCCATAAAGGATTAATAGATGCGTTTAATAATTTTATTATTTTTATTTATTTATTATATATTGTTATTTTGTCAATATATTATAACAACAATAAAGACTAAATAATAAATAATATACATACACACACACACACTTGTATATATGTTATTATATATTATTATTATGGGTGCTAAAGGCAAAATATTAGTCTCCCATCTTCATGGGATGGCTCCATAAAGCATTAAAAGATGCATTTAAATTGTTTATTATTTTTATGTATTTATAATTTATATTATATATTGTTATTATAATATTTTTATATATATATGTGTGTGTGTGTGTTATTATTATATATTATTATTATTATTATTATGGGTGCCAAAGGCAAAAGATTAGTCTCCCATCCGCATGGAATTACTCCAAAAATTCCATGGTGGGCTGCTCTCTGTTCATCCTAATACATTAGAGAAGGCCCGCTGAGGCCCATAACCCCCTCCAAGACCCTCCTTTCCCCACATTTCAATGCTCCTCTCTGCCCTCCCTCTTGCCTCCAGGGGAGAAGCCCTACCTGTGCCCCTACGAAGGCTGCAACAAGCGCTACTCCAATTCCAGTGACCGCTTCAAGCATACGCGCACACACTACGTGGACAAGCCCTACTACTGCAAGATGCCCGGCTGCCACAAGCGCTACACGGACCCCAGCTCCCTGCGCAAGCACATCAAGGCCCACGGGCACCACATCTCCCAGGAGCAGCAGCAGGAGATGCTCCAGGCGCAAGGAGGCCCCTCTGCCATCATCGCCACCTCCGCTGCCTCCAAGGGGGGCTCCCTGGCAGGGGATGGGCCTTTTGCTAGTGCTCAGCTCCTTCTCCCCGGCCTCTTTGGGGGTCCCGGCTTGAGTGGCCTGCCCCTTGGGCCCCCGGGTGGCCCCCTGGACCTCAGCGCCTTGGCCTGCGCCGGACTGGGCTCCACAGCGGGCATCGCTGGCCTCCCCAGTCCCGTCCTGGCACCCCTGAACCTGGCCAAGAGCCCCCTCCTCTCCGCCCCCTTTGCGTCCGGCGGGCTGGGGCTGCCCCTGGTCTCCTTGCTGGCCGGAGCCTCCATTGCTAAGGCCGAGAGGTGCTCCCACGGGAACGGAGCCCGGCTCCTCAAAGGCGGTGGCAGTGGCGGCATTGTCAGGGGCAGCTGCAAAGGGCTCTTGGAGAGGACTGAGTTGGCCAGGCTGCGGGCCGGGTCCCCTATGCCCGAGGAGGGGCTTCCCTTGCTGCCTGGGGGTGCCTTGGACCTCTCCACTGGGGTCAACTCTGGGGGGAACCGGAACGGCAGCAGCGGGGGCGAAGCCTTGCCCCCTGGATGGGTGGTCATCCCCACTGGGTCGGTGTTGCTCAAGCAGGCGGTGAACTGAGAGGAGGAGAAGGATGAAGGTGAGGAGGACTGACCACTGGGAGCCGGTTGCAGAGCAGGCTCCCCATCACCGCCTCCCATTTCCTGTCCAGACGCCAAGGCACTGGAACAGCCCTGTGCCCTGAAGCTTCCAGTCCCCAGGGGGGTTTGCTTCTGAGACTTCTCTTCTTGGTCAAGGCAAATGCACGAAATGGTCCAAGACCCCAGCGCAACCTCCAAGGTGGGTCTCCCTGAAACGGCTGCCCTCCTTTGTGGCAGAACAAACAGTATCTTATCAGAGGGGGACAGCCCCTCATATAGCTCCCCCTTGTATCTCCTGACGGAGCCAACTTGGCACCCTTTGCCCTCATTTGCTCTCTCTTACGACGGAGGAGGAGTCTCTCCTGAGCGAAGCAATAAGCGCCATTTCCATGGGCAGCGGCTGTGACAACCCCCCCACCCACATTCCTGTTGTGCTGCTTGGACAGGCTGACCTTTCAGCTTTGGCCCTTGTTGGGGACACTTGCCTTTCCCTCCCTGCCAGGCCCATCCCAGGTTGTCACCAAACCTTCAGGGCCAGGAGGATCCCTTCTTTTCCTTTCTTTAACTGCATAAAGGTAGAGCCACTCCAGGGACGCTGGAGACAGAGACAGACACAGCCCCCGTTGTGCCCTCCTCTTCGGCCCTTTCTGGACTCCTCTGATGTCCTCCCTGCAACAGAAAGGCAGGGGCAGCCCTTTCCTTGCCCTTTGTAAAGCCCCACTGGCCCAGGATTTTCTCATAGGGGGAGAGAGGAGATTCTGTGGGGAGGGAGGGAGGGAGTGCTGGGACTGGAATGGCTGCTGGGTGAGTGGGTCCCCTTCTGTACAAAGCTCCCCCTCCCATGACAAGGCATCATGTGCTGCTCACCAATTTGCATCCACCCCCCTTGACGCGGAGGGACTGACTTATTCACTTCCCCTCTATGAGCAGTAGGGCCTCACATTAAGGAGGTTGAACAGAACTGTGGGGTGGGCCCTGGGGAGGAATGTCTCCTTTGTGGGCAGCCTCCTCCCTCTCTCCTTGGGCCACTTGCCTTTCCCTGCCAGACGCATCCCAGAATCCCGCAAGACTCTTCCCGACAGGGCTGTTGTCGCCAAACCTTCAGGGCCAGGAGGAACCCTTCTTTTCCCTTTTTTAACTGCATAGAGGCAGAGCCACTCCAGGGACACTGGAGACAGACTCGGCAGCCACGGTGCCCCCGTTGTGCCCTCCTCTTCCCCTCCATTCCAGTCTGTTTCCAAGGAGCTCCCTCTCCCTTCACAAGGGGGGTCCCTGTGTGCCTGTCCACACCTACTTTTCTCAGAGGGACCCCTCCTCTGGGCTTCCTGCAGCCTCCTGTTGACCATTCCCCCCTGCGCCATCCCGAGGGGAGCTGGCCTCCCAGGTGCAGGCGGAAGCATGCTCCTTCGCTTTGGGGCTTGAGAGCAGCACTGCCCTTCTTCCTCCCTCCCTCCCTTCCGGCATCTTCTGCCGATTGACCAGGCCTTTGAGCCGGTGCTGTGTGTGCTCCTGCCTCCTGCTGTTCTCTTCCTGTCTGTTTGGGCCGCCAGTATTTTAACAGTTTCTAAGTGCCTTTCGATTGTAGTTCTATGTTGGTCCCCCCACCTCCCCCCCCCCCATGTTGATAGCATAGTTTTAAGGCAGGAAGCCATGAGCTATGACCGATGACCGCCCGGTCCCCTCTTCTGCCCCGAAGGAAGGAGGGCCGGTTACGACAGAAACAATAAAAGCGAACCCAAACACTCCAGTGCGCCTCGTTTTCAGTGCCTTAAGGGGGAACCCATTCACCTCGATCTCCAGAATGAAGGGCTCCAGTGCAGGGGTTGTGTATTGAGACTCGCAGAGGCCAGGGTGCAAATCGCACAGACAAGTTGCCCAAATTGGAAGGTTGTCTGGACCCGTCAGACACAAAGTGACGCTTGCAGACCAAGGCTATACAAGAGCAATTTACTAGCTAGCTATAACTTAATGATTGGGAAGGGACTTGGGGGGGGGGGGGGGGGGGGGGGGGGGGGGGGGGGGTTAAGCGCTACGTTTCAGCCTTGTGCTGCGGTTCCTGTTCTCCTTGGGACTGGATCCGGAGCTCTTCGTCCAGGCGCTCCTTGGCCCTCACCACCTGCAGAAGGAGACAGAGATGGGATGGAAGGAAAGTCATACAGGGCAGGGGGGCTGCGGGACCATCCTTTGCGCCAAGGGCTGGCTGTACCCCCACTGGAGGGCAGAATTTTGCTCAGGACACACAGCAGAACAAGACTGACTCTGCTGCCGTTTGCAGGAAACACCTGCCAACCAGTTTGGGGGTGGGGGTTAAATGAAGACTCTTGGCATCTAAACCAGTTGCAAAGAGAGGTGGGTAATATCATCATTGTCATCTTACTGCAGTTCTCAGGATGGCTTGCCCAATGCTGGCGAAGGGCTCCTGGGCCTTCCAGGAGGGGAAGCAAAGGGAAGGGCAGAGCCAGGCCCAGAGATCGTGGGCAAAATGGGGTCCTCACTCACCTTGGATTGCAGGTAGAAGGAACCACCCACTGACTTGTCGTTCACCTTGAACAAGTGTTCATAGTTCTGCCAAGGAGAAAGCAATGTGTTGGTTCCCAGCAACAGGGAGATCTCCAAAAGGGAGATCCCTGAATGAGATAGGACGGAGGCTTGGGGGTGTGTGTCCCCGAACACAGCAAAAGAGGCCTCTTCTCAACAGACCCAGTTCCTCCCAACCAAGAGTCCTGAGATCGGTGAGGCACAGAATCCTAAATTCCTCCTGCAAACTACAGCTCCCAGGATTCTGCAAGAGTGCTGAGGATATAACTTAACTTGCATAGACCGCCTTGTAGCTGTGCAATGCCTTATAGTGCTAAGCCATGGAGAGGCATGTGAAGACCTTGGGGGGGGGGGGGGTGTTATGAATCATGTGCCAAAAGACTTCAGCAGAGGATCCTAGAATCACAGAGTTGGAAGAGTCTCCCAAGGGCCATCCACTCCAACCTTCTTCTATGCAAGAGAAGAACAATCAAAGCCTCCTGACAGATGGCCATCCAGCCTCTGTTTAAAAGCCCCCAAAGGAGCTTCCACCAGACTCCAACACAGGGAATTCCTCTGTTGACCAGCTCAGAAAGTTCTTCCTAATGGTCAGGTGGGAGGTAATTTGGACCCATTGAGTCCTATTCTCCAGGGCAGGAGAAAGCAAGTATCCTTCCTCTTGTGGTGTCCTTTCAAACATTTAAACATTATCATCATGTCTGCTTCTCTTCTGGAGGCTAAACAGACCCAGGTCTTTAGGGGATTCATGATCTCCAGACTTCTGATCCTATTAGTCACCCTCTTCTCCTGGACCCCTTCCATCTTGTCAATATCCCTCTTGAATTGGGCTAGGAGAAGGTCTGACCAATGCAGAAGAGAGTGGGACTAGGACTTCCCTCAATCTGGACTCTAGACTCCCTTTGATCCTTTCCGTTCTACTGGGAAAAGTGTGCAAAGAAAGTTGAGAAAGGCACATAGGTCTGGGTTGCAGGAGTAGCTCAAGGGGGGCTTCCATCTTCCATCAATGCCCTTCTCCCTCCCCAAACGGGCCCCTCTCACCTTCTGGATCTCCTCTGGGCTAAGCCTGGAGATGTTGAGGATTTGCTGGGCCTCTTGGAGGCTGATCCCGGAGAGGCTGGAGGCTGCGGCAGAGGAAGATCGCGGCCCTGCCTGTCCCCGGGCGTTGGCTGCTGCTTGGCTAGCTGTTGAGGAAGACAAACAGGACATGGTTAGGCCTCTAATGCCACCAGGATAGGCACCATCAAGCAGAATGGAGGTATTCAAGATCCCTGGGGAACACTCCATACAGAACTGGAAGGAATCAACCAAGAGCAGGACCCCAATCTCCCACAAAGTATCCTCTTCCAGGCCCTGAATGCAGGGTCTTCCCGCCTTTGGGCCCCAAGCAAACCTTGCCAGGCAAAGCAATACAAATGCTAGAAAAGCACATGATTCACTAAGTTGGTGTCTTTCCAGACTACAATATTGTAGCTAAACTGACAAAAAACTTGACAAAACCAGTAACTCAAACAAAACAAAGCAAGAGCAATGCGAATAAATGAATCCATGTCATTCAAAGCATCAATATAATGCAATAACATTTAAAGGATTGTAATGGTTTACTTTGTAATACCCTTAAAATTTAATTCTATTTTAATGTTTGCATATTTTTTAGATTTTCAATTTTATGTCATTTGGTTTTACTGTAAGCTGATCTGAGTCTCTTGGTAAAGACAGAAAGCAGGATATAAATAAACATAAGAATAACAATTAACTTATAATACAGGGCCGCACATCCAATAATAATAACAGTTGACCTATAAGACAGGGCTGCACATCCAACAACAACACCTATAAGGAAGGCCAGCACAAACGACAATAACCATAATAGTTGACCTATAAGGTAGACTTGCACAGACAATAATAATAATAGTAATTGAGTTATAAGACTGGGCTGCACAGATGATAATAATAATATTAATTAATAATTATAATAATAACTGACCCATAAAGCTTGCCAGCACAGATGACAATAACAATAATAACTGACCTAAGACAGGCCAGCACAGATGACAATAACAATAATTGTCCTATAAGACAGGGCTGCACAGACAATAATAATAATAACAACAACTGATCTTTAAGGCAGGCCAGCACAGATGACAATAACAACAATAATTGACTTATAAGACAGGGCTGTAAAGCCAATAATAATAATAATAATAAGAAGCCAGTCAAGGTGGTACCAATGATGATCGGCACACTGAGTGCAGTGCCTAAAGACCTTGGCCTGCACTTAAACACAATCAGCCCTGACAAAATTATCATCTGCCAGCTGCAAAAGGCCACCTTYCTGAGATCTGCACACATTATTTGCCGATACATCACACAGTCCTAGACACTTGGGAAGTGTCCGACTCATCTTGTTGTGTTTCAAATAATAATAATAATAATAATAATAATAATAATAGACTTATAAGACAAGCCAGCACAGACAACAATAACAATAATAATTGACCTATAAGACAAGCCTGCACAGCCAATAAAAATAATAGTAACTGCCCTATAAGGCAGGCTAGCACAGATAACAATAACAACAATAATTGACCTATAAGACAGGCCTGCACAGGCGACAATAATAATAATAATTGAC